AAATACTTGAATAACGGTGGAGTCTGTTTATCGTTATACGGCGATGGCGCGGCCAATCAGGGTCAGGTGTTCGAGGCATATAATATGGCTAAACTGTGGGATGTACCTTGCATCTTTGTTTGCGAGAATAATGGATACGGAATGGGTACCAGCGTAGATCGTGCTGCGGCAAGCACGGAGTATTATACCAGAGGCGACTATGTTCCTGGAATATGGGTATGTTAATCTATTTTAAAAGATTCTTATTTTATTAAGGTAAAGAGATTTATGATAAAAATTGTATTATAGGTGGATGGAATGGATGTGTTAGCCGTGAGAGAAGCCACAAAATTTGCAATTGATCACTGTACGTCGGGTAAAGGCCCCATTGTCATGGAAACTGTGACGTACAGGTATAGCGGGCACAGTATGTCGGATCCTGGAACCAGCTATCGTACGCGAGAAGAGGTGCAGGAGGTTCGACAGACCCGGGATCCTCTGACCAGCTTTAAAGAGAGAATTTTGAATTTCAATCTTGCTACTGCTGACGAAATCAAAGTTAGTCAATGTCTCTTTTATTAGATTTCACGATTAATGTTATCTATTATAGTAATTTATTTCATTGTGTTATCTGATGATGATTTATGTAGATAAGCAATCTTTTTCTGTCTCAGGCAATAGAAGGTGAGATTAGGAAATCAGTGGACGACGCCATGAAAGCTGCCAAGAACGACAAGGAGATTCCACTCAACGAGCTCACTGCCGACATTTACACGGAATGTTTAGAGAAGGGGATTCGAAACACGTCACCTTTCAATCCTCTATCGCACACCAGACTAGGGCCAGCTGTAAATGCTTGAAACTGCTCAAAGATCATTTCCTAATTACAGTCTCGTGCCACGTCCTCACTGTTCATAGACTTATAAACTAGTTGTATAGAAGTGTACATGCACACGATTTTTTTAATTCGAGGCTGTATATTGTTTCGTCAAAGAAGAACTGATATATTGTCGAAACAGATTAATTCGAGTGCAATTATTGCGTACAGATATCTTGGTAATGTTCTAATACGCACGCGTAACATTGTACGTTGCAGTGAAACACGATTCACGTGTCAAAAAAAAGATCCATATTTTTGATAATTTGCAGAATTAAATTTATTTACAACCTCATTTATTTCCAATGTGAAAATTACTACGAGGAGAGGATCTTTTACGATACAATGTGCGCCTAAGATCTGAGCCATTTGTTATAATGTGTTAAAATAAAAATAAATCTAAAAAAAATAAAAATTTATTATAAAAATAAAAAATAATTCGTTTGTCAAAAAGATTAAGGATAAATTTTGGATGACAGAATTAGATACAAGAATCGTTCTGTCTTTGTTATTGTCACTGAATGTTAAAAAAGATAAAATAAGATATTTCTGTTGATTTGTGTTTTTGTCGAGTAACCTACACAGCATACTTTATTCGAGAGATGTTCTGGAAACGTATTCTTAGGAAGTTCAGAGGATGTAAGGATGTGTTTCAGACATCTCTATGTTAAAATTCCCACCTGAGTGTCACCCAGATATTATTTTGTCTTTGTTGCATCTATCGATTTAAAAACAAGAGATTCTTTTTAGCTAAAGTTCTTGCACGGTTCATCTTTCTTTTTTTCTCCACGTTGTTGAAGAAAAAAAGAAAAGATGGACCGTGCAAAAAGAAGTTTAGCTTAAAAGAATAGGCCTAAAGATAATATGATACCTGAGGACTACTCAGATGGAAATCAATTTTGCATTCTTCCTTGGGGAAGATGCCCGTTTCTACCAATGCAGTTTTATTTTAATTTTGGTTTATCTAACTTTTCATCTTTTTCTAGTTACAAGAATTAGAAAAAGGGGTAAAGAGTAAGTTGAACTGAGATTAAAATTAATTTATATCGGTAGAAATAAATTGGTTGTGCTGCCGAGTAAGATATTTCTGAATAGCGATTAGTCGAGAAATCTCGGGAGTCGAATCTCGAGAGATATCGAGAGATCGAGAAAGAAAGAAGCATCGAACGTGTCGATCAGTCGATATCGAACGTCGGCCATGTCTCTCTAGTGGTGAACAGGTACAGGTGTACGGTTAACCAACGCTGCGCGTACGATCTTTATTGAAGGTCAGTTTATTCCACGAAAAAAAATGGCCCGAATCGTCGCAGTAAAAGAATACCTTGAGAAAGCGTTGAAGGATGAGAGCAAGCCGTGGACAAAGATGTTCGCCCTCGCGGAAGAGAAGACCGGCATCGATCGGCTATACATTTTTGTCGGTGAGTCGCCCGGTGGTACAATTACGCAGATTTCTAGTCATTCCTATTGATTGGCCGGCTCGATCACACTTAGATAATTATTCAACCTCATGTTAATGCGACTTCGCACTTTCGTAGAACTTGTTATCGCGCACTCGTTACGCAATACCTAATTTCACAGTTTTTTTCTTTTTTATGTCGCGCTGTTTTTTCTTTGATAAATATATTTCGAAATCTTTGCCGAAAATTTGCAACCTGTTGATCTTTGTTCGGGTCATTGGTCATCACACAATTGCATGACGATATCGCTTTCAGATACTCCCATATTTTTTGCTCGTTTGCATTAATATTTTTGCAAACGGCAGTATGTTGAATTTAAAATAGGAGTATTTTAGGAGTACTTTAGGAAGAATAAGTTATTATTATTATTATTACTACTTTTATTATTTATTTATCGATAGGATCAATGATATTGATGGCTATATACCTGGTATTTGGATTAGGACAACAGCTAGTATGTAATATAGTCGGTTTTGTTTATCCTGCATACCAATCTATGAAAGCATTGGAAAGTCCTAAGAAAGAGGATGACACAAAATGGCTCACTTATTGGGTGGTTTTTGCTGTATTTACTATAATAGAATTCTTTTCCGAGTATATTGTCTGCTGGTTTCCAGTCTATTGGCTATTTAAGGTATAATTCTGAAGGCACTAATCTTAAAGACAGATCCTGCCAAGAGCAAATATTATTAATTATGAATTTGTACACAGTGTGTATTCTATGTATGGTTGATGGCACCAATTGCCGAGTATAATGGTTCCTTGATTCTATATCGTCGTATCATCCGTCCAAAATTTATTCAGTATCAACCTGGATTAGACAGATTTTTGTCTAATGCACGTGACACAGGTAAGGTCATTTTTAAAAATTAAGAATAATTCTATTAAAAATAATTTTATTAAAAATATGGATATCAATGGAATTTTATTTACGACATGAATCAAAACATAAGTATAAGAAAATGTTATTCTTGTAGCAGTTAAAACTGCGGCGGAAGCATTGCTGACCAACAAGCAAGAATAATGAAGTTATAAATCAAACAAATAGAAAGTCCATTTGTGTCTTTCCCTTTTTACTCATTCCTAGCGGAGAGAGCGTGAATTTTGTGCTTTACCGAATATTACCGAGCGTTGTTACATTAACGACTACAAAGATGAAGAAAATGCCAAACAAATAGAAATTTTGATTATCCTAGATGCTATAAGCAACTTTCAAATGAATCAGGGAAAACCAAAGTTATCCAAAATTGTGAATAGATAGTAAATATGAAGGATGCACGAATGAAAAAAGCCTCCCTCTGAAAATAAATCATTTACAGTACAATAGCCTGCTTTCAGAATTGCAAAATGATGTTTAAAAAGTTTCAGCATGGAAATAACCGTTTTATTTTCAGATAAGCTCGATTTATCGTTTATAGAAATTCTGAGCTAGCTGAAAACAAAACTTGGAGTGTTTTTGTATAAATAGGATAGACTGATCGTGTGTTTTTGCCATTTCCGTAATCTTTGATGATATACTTGTGTTAAAATATTATATATTATAATTTTAGAGGAAAGTTTCACCAACATTAAAGTCATTCATTAATTAATTAACGCCAGTACGGCGTTCCGAACGGCAATTTGAGAAGTTTTCTTGGTAATAGATGGCACACTCTTGGTGGTTTGCCAGAATCGCCAAAGAGGAGCTACCTGCGTGCAAAAATTTCTTAGATCTGCCGAGGATCGAATTTTAGTTCCCAGGTAATATAGCATGGTAGACTCGCGTGCTGTCCATCATGCTACGCTTGTACTCAATAATCATGTAATTTGATTAAGTCTTTTCTTTTTCCAAAATAACTATTTCTTGAAATAACGTTGATGGTATATTGTTAATATTTCGATTTTTTATCTTAAAATATTTACAATATTAAAACGTTTGAATTAGATAAGAATCGATGTTGGTGAAACCGGCTTTTACTAGGTATGTTTTAATAGGTAAGTTGTTTATTAGGCATTGTTGATAAGAAACTGGTAAGATTGATTTAAATATATAAAAATAGCAAAGACTCAAGATAATCGGAAACAATATATGATATATTAAAATACGTAAAGATATACGTTGATAAATCTAATTTAATTAAAAACTGAAATTTTTGATGACAAGTATTGTCATTAAATTGTTATATCGTGATATAAGGCAAGACATTTGAAACAAATCAGGTATTATGCCTTCTAGTTAGTTCATGAGTCGTCAATGAAACGACACGCACAATTAGCTTAAAATTTGTACATTATATATGTGAGATTGTATCGTAACTTGCATGCGATTGTCTTATGTTTATAATATATTCTACCAACATCTTTAAACAGCTTCTATTTTGAAGTACAGAGACAAGCTTAGGAGATGTGTATATTGCTCAAATTAACCCACCAGTCTTGTAAGCCACAACTTAATAACCATTTGTCCGACCAAGTCGGTGTTCCATTTGTGGATTCTATGAAAATTTAATTTTTCTATATCTTTCTTCCGTCACTTTTAAAGTTCTTTATACACATATGAATGTTACCACTTGTTGCCGAGAAATGAATATTACGGGTTTTAAACAAAATTGTAAATTTAGAGGTATTGACAAAAATTATAAATCACTATACACGCACCGCAATAAATATGTTTTTATTTTACACTTCCTTTTCTTTCTCCCTTTTTCTATCTTTCGCTGATAACTGATGTTATTCACGAACGGAAATCAATTTCCTGTAACGCATTCCTGCGAACAACCCAATGATTATATACAGCATTAATTTAATAGTAAAAGCAAACTATTTTAACTCTAAAGAGCACAAATATGCACACACACACACACACGCGCGCGCGCGCGCGCGCGTGTGTGTGTGTGTATGAGCGCACAATATTAAGTTTCCGTCAATAAGTTATGACGAAATAAATATGCATTTTAGAAATATTGTGCAATAAAATTTAAAAAATTGCCGATAAGAATTAAATTATTAGTGTCCTTGTCCGATGAATCTTAAACATTGAACTGTTAGCCATTACTCATTCCATCGCGCACTTTGATTATACCAGGAAGTATAATGACGTAGTCAAAAGCAATTTAGACGGACTGCAGATAGTACCGTATATTGAAAAGGATCCGAAGCGTGGATCGAAACGTATGTATATTTAATAATGTAATAAATCAATTTCATACGTACAACCAGCAGCTGGCTCAACAAAGCATTATACATTTCCATTGATTTACATCAACTGAGCCTTACGTAGCATTGCTTTCATGTTACAATAATAAAAAGTAAAAAGAGTTAAGAATCATATCTTCCAATATACTATTATTGTCCCCCACTACTATTAATGTTTCCCTTTCCTTTCTATTTCCTCAGAGATTCCTTTCCTTCTCAATTCTTTATTCCTATAGTTCTGTTGTTTGCTGTGTCATCAGTCTTTGTACGTTTATAAAATAATCCTTTCAATTTGAAGAATTTGTGACACTTTTGCATTATTATATCTTTCAAATGCGAATCAATTACAATAGACATAATAAAAGTAAAAATCTCAATTCAGGTACAAAAAAGCTTATATATTAAATATTAATTACATACATTGTTCTTGATTTATTCTCACAGTGGATAATTTTAAAATTAGGTTGATTTATTGGAAATGTATATCAGTTCGAGAATCATTACATCACAATTGATATCCATTGAAATAATTGGATCAATGAAGAAATTACAGCGATTTATGAAATTTGTATTTATCGCAAATTTAGAAGAACTTTAATTTGTAATATTCAAATCTGTTTTAATATTTGACTTATTATGTAAGGTCTAGGATTTATTTTTTTATATATTAACATTGTGTGTGTGTGTGTGTGTGTGTGTGTGAAAAGGTTCTAGTTTAAGGACAAAACGTTTGTTAAAAAATTCAGTAAATATTAGTAATCAAGAAGTTGGCTCTTAGCTCTTTTTACTTTTTGTTATTGTTTTATTTGCCGATATTACAAATAAAATAATAAATTGATCAATTTGTGCTCTTTAGAATTCAAATTCATGAAAAGTACGAGAGAATTACATTTCTTTGAAGTGAAATTTCTCTGCTGTTAACGCAAGCTTTCTTATGCGACGAATAGTGGATGCAGCTGCAATCTGTACCTCTGGATCGTCCGAACCCACCAAGCGCAATACGTACTGTTTAAAATTTTTATCGATAGTTTTCAATATTCAATCAGGGTTTCCACAATTCGTCGTTTTGGTATATAGAGAAGATCAGTCAATCAAATTGAGTTAAAAGTAACTTTAAATATATCCCTACAGCACAAAAGTTGCAGCAACAATGCTGCAATATTGTAGCAATATCGCTGCAAGTTCTGTGCTGTATGAATATATCTGAGTATCAACCATGAAACTTTTTTCCTAGGATGAAAAGTGAAAAGTGAAAAGTGAAAAATTTCTTCATTAACTTCAATGGTTAAAATTTTCACTTTTTACTTTCCATCCTAGAGATAAAGTTTCATGATTGATACCTTGGAACTTATTTTTTTATGTTGAACATTCTATTTACGAAAATATCTCTATCAGTTCATAGACTATTTACATTTACAATGCTGGTGGTTATAAATTAATATGTTTACTGAAAAAATATTCATTTTCAAAGAAGATAAGAGTTTTAATAAATTATATCTTTGTGACTCTCAAAATTAAACAATAATAATAAAGGCATATAAGAGTAAAACGCAGTAATTGGAGCGTATTCAATATTGTATATTATTCCTTACTAATAAATATAAAATTCGAACGTTTCGACTCTTTTTTGAGTCTTTTTCAGCGAGATATGTGTTCCCATAATCGATAAGATGAAGTCAGTTCATCCTAAATGGAAATTACTCCTGAATCGACAGATCCAAAGTGAAAGAATCCAACATTGATGTTCTTTCACTTTGGATCTGTCAATTCAGGAGTAATTTCCATTTAGGATGAACTGACTTCATCTTATCGATTATGGGAACACATATCTCGCTGATAAAGACTCAAAAAAGAGTCGAAACGTTCGAATTTTATATTTATTAGTAAGGAATAATATATATAATATTGAATACGCGCGCTCCAATTATCGCGTTTTACTCTCATATGCTTTTGTTATTATTGTATAAGATTTTTAATTTCAAGATTTAATTTCGTAAAGTTACGAAACAATTGTTCTTTAACATCAAGCGATTGTCACGTATGCAAATTCCTATGGCCTAATTGTACCTTGATAACGCCGCAAGTGTGCATGGTCACACAATTTAAGGGCTCCTTGCTCAAATGGTACACAGCAATGCAAACACCCTTCAACACGTTCTTGTTCTTGCTGGTCATATAATTAACGAGCGGCGCAACAGCATTTAGTTTACCAAATTCGTAACTGTTCCGATCCCAATCGCAGCAATAAGCTATTGCCAACGTCAGATTGGCGCGCAAATTCTCGTCGTCCTTTAAAAGAATAATCATCTTATTATTAAGCATAAATATTTCGACCAAAAGTATTTAATCAGTAAAATATTTAAATGCGACTGCTTCATGGAAAAGCCGAGTAATCTTTTAAATCATAATTAAATAATTAATCTGATAAAAAAGATTTGAGGAATTATATATGAGAAGCGTACTGGCATGTGCGCATTATATTTTATTTCATATGCCAAAAATGTTTTAATTAAAAAATTTAAAAGTTTAAAATGAAACCTTTATTTCCTCATTAATTTATTTTGTAATAAAAACTTATTCTCGCGAATATACGGGGTGAATCAGAGTCGTTGAACCAGCTTTTTACCCGATAAGAAAATAATTGACTGTACACGTTATAATTCAATTAGATATGAAATCGATAATTTTCTCATAGGGTAAAAAGTTGGTTCAACAACTCTGATTCACCCCGTATATATTAATGATTAAAAAGCTTTTTTCCACGAAGCAGTCGCGCGAACTCTTAAACAGAAATCATCATCATAAACAGCGCTGAACCAACAGTTTCCACGAGAGCGGCCAATTTCTTCACGACGCCGTGATCCGTCAGGATGCCTAGGTTCTCAGGATCGGTAGCAATCTCCGCGATCATGGCGCAAACCGCGCTGAGCACTTCCGTATCTTTGCTCTCCAGGAGACTGACTGTGAGCTCCAAGCCACCCACGAAGGCGCGCACCATCTCAGGGGAATCCTTGGCGTGGCGGATGCAGGGTACCAGAGCGAGACAAGCATTACGCTTGATCACATCACTGGGATGCTTCAGCAGGGACCAGACTAATCGCACGCCGTCCAGCTGATGCTCCGAGTCGTTGATAATGTCCATGCATTTCTCATTGACGGCACACTCTTTCAGCACCAGTGGCACGTTCTCTAATAATGGCTCGTACGTGGCGCTCAATAGTCTAATCTGCAAAGGTCCCTGAAGCACTCATTCCGCGGTATCGCAAATACTGGAGTAACGAGGAAACATCGATCGTCATGGGATTGGTGTAGCGCACGTTAACTCGATTAATCATCGAGAATAGTACTCGCAACCTTCCGATACACAATCCAATTTTCGCTTCATTTGAAAATTATCTCTCATATAAATTCCAATGGGATAATTAAAGTTAAATGGGTCAATGCAGCTATATTCCAATAAAATTGATAATTGATAATCATTAAAGTGTTAACATATACGACGAGAATTCATCTAGTAATTGCTCGAGGATCATTAAAAGAACTACGATAATAATTTATTTTATTATATTGATCTGAATATTTATTCTGAATGCGCGAGGGATCTCTATTACCTACAATATAACACATTCAGTTTTTAAAATAATTTTTCCCTTTTGATACAATATTCTAGTTATTAGAACACATGACACAATAAATAATTGATCCAAGTAGATATTTTTGCAAGAGTTCAACATGCAGATAAGCAAAGTTTGGTCCAGAGAGACTAGAGAGAGAGAGAGAGAGAGAGAGAGAGAGAGAGAGATTGCGAGAGAGAAGAAAAGCACAGATAGAAGTGTACTCCTGACTTTGAACGGTCTTTACCAGTTTCGGTAGACCCTCGTTAATCCTCAAGACATCCCTGTTAGTGGGATCCTTACAGCACTCGGCGAGGGCGCCTACAACGTTGGCTAACACCCTTTCATCCTCGTTTTCCTCAAGTAGAGGCACCAATGACGCTACCAGATCGTTTTGATTGAACCTCATTATGTTCTCGGGGCTGATGGCACACTTCCAGACGCCACCGGTGACCGCGGCCAGCAGGCGCTTATTGGCGTGCACCTCCTCGCTCTGCACAAGTTTGCAAAGTGGGTCCAGACCGCCAGCTCGACGCACCATCATTCGAGTTTCTCGATTAGAAGCGCATTTGAAGATGGCCAAGGCAGAGTTCTCCTTTAGCTTCACGTTGTCGTTCTTCAAATGTCGCACCAAGTCCTCGATGATGCCCACTCGCTCAAATGCTTCTCTGAAAACATTCTACAAATGCGCCAATAAATATTGGCACCATATAACTACAAGGGAATATTTATAATGAAATTTTGAAAATAGATAGTTTGATTAATTACGATTTTAATAAACGGCAGTGCCATGAATTTTGAATAACAACAACAATCCAGGATGTCTGATATTTAAATCTCATGATATTTAACTTGTTTTCGATTATTAATATAATGATAACTATGTTTTCCATAAATAATTTTCATAATTTCTATATATATATATATACGTTGTTCAAATTGATTTAAATTATTTTATTGATAGATCAAATTATTTTAATTAACACTATTAATAGATAATGAATAAAATTCAGTAAACCAGATCAGCACACTGCTGTACGACGCCCATCGTGGGTACGATTAGCTGAGTGTGTTTCGATTTTAGAAAACGCGACATCAAGCGAACAACGCCATGTTTACGAAGTTCCTCCTTGACCTTCGGACTGCTGCCTAAAGAATCTAAAACCTTGGCACAACCTATGGCGACGGCCACGAGTTCTTTGCTGGCCTCGCTTAATTCATCGTATGACCGACGAAGAACTTCGTCTGGCACATCCATTACGTCCAGCTGTCAAACACAAAGAATCAATATTGTCATACTGCTCACATTGAGAGAAAAAAAAATTTAATTCTCAACACCTACGGGTCATTTGTCATTTTTCTGCGCGTTTCTTTCTTTTGAAACACTAAATAATAGCTCTACCCTTTCTTTTCCGTTTTTAAATACACAACTTTACAAATACAATACTTTCTAAAGATGTTTTGAAGTATACGTAAAATATGCTAATTTTTATATAAATACTTGTATAAAAGTGATGAAAATTGATCTGGAGCACAAATAATTCATCATGTGGATTAAAGTAATATATAAAAACAATGATATCGTCGTTCGTATATATCAGAGATTGAATATTTTACACATAGCAATTTTGAAAGAATCTTGAGACATGTTTGTCTTATTCGAATACTGATGATTGGATAACTTACGATGAGCGGTATTCCACCGCGAATTCTAATTTGTTTTCTGGCCTTTCTGATTCGAGCTATAATGGCCATAGTTTCGGCTGCCAAAATCTGCGAGGATTATAAATTAACATTATATAACACGATGGAACGAAGTATGAAAAAATAATTGAAAAATTAGATTCAAGATGTTTGGAACTTTAGCATTTTTAATTTGACGAATATTTTGTTGATTGACAAATCAATCGGATTTTAAATTAAATACTCCATGCACAGCAGATAAAAACAACTAGGTCGATTAATTAATTAAAGGAGCTATTTTGAAAGGTCAACACCTGGATATCTCTGGCGGGATGCTTCAGCATTTGTATTAATGGTGTTGCAATGTCCAAGTCAATTAAATATCGCTTCATCTCCGTGGAAGTCGCGATTTGTAATAAGACCGACAACGAGCCGTTCTGACACTTAATGTCATTCGTTTCGAGGAGATTTACTAAAACTTCGAGACCTCCCATTTCTTGAATAGCCTTCTGTATGATCTGCACTACCACAAATATATTTTGAAAAACACTGAGAGACTATAGATAATTCTTATTTTTACTTATTAGATTCATTTTCACAACATTAATTTATATCGACTTTTTGTACATCGTATATTATACATAACAACACATATATGTTTTCAATTTCTATCATTTATCGACAAGCTTTTGCTCTGACATGAAGCCCTCTCACTGTTTTGGACATATTTTTCTACAGATTTTATCTATAGAATTCATATATTGAAAAATTAAGTAAGTTTTTTAAACATTGACTCCTTTTTCAGTGCAATACTTTTAATTTAATTTATTTATATTTATACATAGATATATCTCAAGACTTTTATTGACTATATTGATTTCATTTATCTTACGATTTTAAAAATCTTATCTGTTTAATTCTACTTTTTTCATCTTTAAATGAAGAAAATTTCGATAACTATTACATAAAGACTTTTAATTTATTTACTATAATATATTATCCAACTTTTGCGATATGATTAATTGATATCGTATCGTTGATTAGTTTTTTATGATTTTTCCAATATTTAATTTTATTTCTAATAATTTATTAATAACATTTTAATCTTATACAACTATTCTTATTATTGTAATAGCTGAGGATGACTAAATAAAGTTGAAACGTTCCATTTATTAATAATTACATAACAATAATTAAAAAACTCACATCTTTTATGATATAGATTAATGTCTTAATAAACTTTATCATTTTACTTTTTTAAGCTCGTGTTTGACCTATTTTCCTGTTCACAAATATATTTATTATAAAATAATCGATTGTGTGAATGAGATACAAAAGAGACAGAGAAATTATTTTTTAAATTAAAGAATTAAAAAAATTGATGTAAATGAGAGAATAATAATGAAGCAAAGAATAAATCTATTAAATCCGTTACTAACTTTTAAAATTATGAAGTGATATTTCTGAAGGCTACGAAAAATAATTATTCTCTTTCTTTGAAAAGAGGTTATTCTTTGTTAAACTTTATAATTAGAACCGTGTGTGTATATTTAAGTTATTTCTTACTCTTATAAATAAAACGTTTTTTTGAAAAAATTGGTGCACTAGGAGTCAGGCGCAGAAGACGTCGCGCAAATAATACACTTATAAAGAGTGAAACTTCTTTATTCACTAAACACGCTTACATGTTTCGGCTCACTTTTTGAGCCTTCCTCAGAGCAAACACAAGAAGTTCCACTCTTTATAAGTGTATTATTTGTGCGACGTCTTCTGCGCCTGACTCCTAGTGCCCTTACTCTTTCCAAATCTATTAGAATTATTGATTTTGTTAGATAACATTATAGATGATATTTTTTTCTTGCAGCCTAATTTAATTTTATAATAAAAATATAATGGACCTTGTCGGTGAGATCATAATCCTTTAATAAACACAGGGACACCATGGTGGCAGTTTGATTGCCAGCCTTCATATACTTGATGAGTTTCTGTATATGCCAGAATTCGGAAGGCACTTCCGGGTGATCTTCCTGATATCTCGCCTCTTCCTCGTCCTCGGACTCTGGCTCGTCGTCCGAGCTCTCTTCCTCGGCTTTTTCGCTAACAAGACGAATTCGAGGTCCATAGGGTTCACCAGTGAGCAAGGACACCTGTTTCGGGGGTTCAGGCTCGGCTGTTTCCACGATTTCAGGCTCTGGTCTACGTAAATGGACCTAGTATCGCTTAATCCTACATTTCTTATTTATTTTTATGAAAAAATATTCCAAATCCCATTCCACTTAATCTTCGAAAAAAAAAAACAAAAGTTGAAATATAATAGCCCGCATAAAAATATACTACTAGTGTCACTAGTGCAATAAGTAAATTTGATAAAAAATTTCATTAAATTTTAATGAAATTTTCTCTACCACTATTACATTATTAGTGACACCACTTGTCGAATTTACTTATATACTAGTAGTATATTTTTATGCGGGGGAGCTTGTTTAAAAATTATTATAAATTTATTTACAAATTATTACGTTGTATATAATTAATAACTGCAGAATGTAAAATCAACGATAACGAAAACATAACTAAATTTTTGGGATGATTCGTCCCCACGTGATTTCGTGTCCGTTTGCTTACTCAGTACGTTCCAACTCCTGCACAGCCTCTTTTGTCGGCACGATCTCTTTCTTCTTCTTCGGAGGCATATTTTGCGAGCATTAAATTCGCGATAAATTCTTTCTCAAGATCTTAGAATATCGAAAGAACAGAGTCTTTTTCTTACTCGTCTTTTCCGTGTTAAAAGACCTCGTCTATCCCCATGCTATTACAGTGAACTATCGATCAAACAATCACTGCCAATTTCACTGCCTTATTATAAAAAATAACGAAATTTTAAATATATCGCAAAAAAAAAAAACAGAAACGAAATGTCAATCAATTATTACTTCTGTGAAATCTTGTTAAAGTAAACGTCAGTTTTTTTCCATTTGGCGGATATCCACAAAATTTTCAGTTAAAAGTAACTGTTTTCAATAGCTGAACTTATAGTGTATATTATATTTTTGGAGTATTTAAAATGGAATAAACGTTTGATATTAATTTATGAGAAAGAAAGTTCTAATGTGAATTGAACGATCGAATGAAAATTCAATGCAAGAATAAAAAACGAACCTTTATTTCCAAAAGGTCATTGTGGAAGCCGGTAATTAATGTCGTGTGAATTATCGACAATATGCCACGACAGAGATTTATAAAATAATACATATTTTTTTCGCGGGGTTTTTTTTGACAGAATCGATCACGAAGCTTCTTCACTAGGAAGAACAATTGCAGATACGGGATGGATACGAGCGAAATTTTGTTGAACAAATTCGAGCTTGGTGAAAGCGACACGACACTCTTTACGAAAATATGCATCGCCTGGAGGAGTTAAAGGAAAAAGATATAGGGAAGGACTGCCGTGACAACATGAACAAATGTTCGTCGTGCATATATATGCTTCTCCGTTTGCTCTTATTCTATTCCTGCTCTCGTTATGTGCCTGGCTCTGCGTTTGCCGATGGGGATTCGGCTACAATCTGAAAGACCGAGAAGTAATTTATGCGCAAGTATCCAAGAAACACACCAAGTTAAGAGAAAATTACTTTATTTCGATGTTATTAAAGTCAAAATGATGATTTTTGGTTTGACTGTTTATTAACGTTAAGAATTAAAATAAAATTATTTCTATTCTTATTGACTTTTGTGTGTGTTCCTTGGATACATCACGACTTTCTGCCATAGATCTTTCTCCTATTTACATTTTTTAATGATTTCTGTGAACTGTAATGCTCGTTGCCTTTACTTTGCAGATCGCCTATTGCCTGGTGGCCTATTTTATTATTATCTCGTTCCTGAACGTTGTCTTTCTAGGACATGTACGACTATTTTACGATTATCCGCCGGAAATGGTCGGTAATTGATTGAGGGTTATCGGCAGTGATGGCAGGTGACGTCAGTCGCTTTGATGGCTGCTAGATGGTGTTACCCATACAAATCTTGCTGGAAGAAGCTGCCAATTCCTAGAGTGCAATATATTAATTTGCGAGCGAATTAGTGATTTCTCGCGGCATATTTCAGTGAGAAACGTAATTAACTTTGGTGGATGCGCAGAAAGTGTTTGTAGTTATTGGAATCAATGAAGATTGCGCGGAGCTTGATTTGATCGCTTGTAACCTAACCTAAAAACGGAACTGCTACGGTAAATATTTGCCAATAATCTTAAATTCATAGATCTAATGAGAGAAGTTGTAATATTTTATCGAGCGTTTTATTAATTTTAATACGTTTTTAGAGCATTTGTTATGTACTTGCATTTATTATCTCCTACTATCTTCTCTACGAAGAGATCTGAACACAACGAATTCTCTAACTTTAATCTTTAAATGAATACCACCCCTTTAGGATGGTACAGTACATGATATTTAAAACCTTAGTCTGAAAGGGAAAATAAAAAGTATTGCCCAGATGCTCAGAAGTCTTAAAATTCATTATTTTTACATTCCTCTGTCTCACAACGGTGTAACTAATGTAAATTTAATTATAACATAATAGTAAAAAATTAACTATAAAATTAAAGACTTTCTGTTTTGAACACTTATCAACTTGCTTATCTTTAAGCATGTACTTAAAGGTTAAGTAAAACGTTTATGGAGAAAAAGTATGGAAACATAGTTGTTTTTTACATTATTTTTCAGATGGGTCTTTCAAGGCACATTCAATTCATCAGCCGTACAATCTTTGTTCAAAACAATGACGTGGATAAGGCATGCCGCTTATTAAATCGCATACTGTCCAAAGAAGACATCTTCAACCAGTACAGGCGCACAAGGTATTATGAGAAACCGACTCAGGTCAGACGTAGGGTCAACTATGAGATGTGCAAGTCGATCTACAACGAGGATATGGACAGGAAGATCAAATTTCTTCTACGCAAGAACAGAGTAGATCCTTATCCCGGTGCATTGTAGGATTACCTATTCCATGTTAGATTGTATCATTGCAATAAATCTATCCATCAATTCGTACCATATGATTTATTTATGAATAAGTATTATCGAAAATATTCTAAATAATACTAATTATTTCTTCTAATTATTTTTACTTTATTCCCCGTATATATGATACAAATTGATCATTCAGGATACTTTCGCAACTGAAGTTTATAGTTTTATTTATTTGTATTGAATGCCCTGATATATATTACTTCTATTACATTTCACGCGGACGGATCCGAAAGTATTTTTGTATACAAATAAAAATTGATGAGTACACAGTGAGACACAAAAATACAATCTGCAATCGGAGAAAATGGATCAATAAGAAATGCGCTTTAAACGTTAATGCAGTGCTAAGAAGCAAAATGAAAAATCATCCTGGCGGACAGAAACGCGTTTTCTCGCTATCTCACGCCATAAGTAACTCCAGGAAGTCGGTTTGCGCGAGAAGCGCGCATTTCTCTCTTTCTCTCTCGCGTACATTCTTTTTTTTCCCTTTTCCGCCCCTCTTTCTGTAAGCGACTTCCATCATCTTTCTTTCGCGAGAGGCGAGAAAAGACAAAACGTCCGGTTGGTTGGTCGGCTTTCCTGGCAACGACTCCGCCAACTTGGCGAAAATTGAATAGATAGTGGCGCCCGGACTATGCCAAGTTTTCCAGCAGGGTTTGTCGGTGGACAGGAAGGTAATTCAACCCCTCCCATGGAAAGAGCGAAAAAGGACGAAAGAGAAAGAGAGCGGCGGTTGCTTCTGTATCCTTCACTTGGCGATAACGCGGACGGCAGTATTAGAGTAGGGGATAAGTACTTTCGCTCCCGCTCGCGAGTCAATTTTCAAAATCGTTCTCACGGCGAGAAACGTTTGGCAAAATGTCCTACTAGAATATTAGTGTGAAACTGGGAAACAAGGTCTTGTATATCCATTTATATTCAGTGTCACTGCATGCGCTGGCTCGCCTTCGGATGTACGAGGATTCAATTTTCAAATAATTCCCGTTAAATTGGCGCTGGTATTAAATCCCACGAGTTTCTCCATTTCAATGATTATTGCTACAAACTTTATTTGAAATTCTTCAATTTTACTTTTCTTATTATTTTTCGAATTGTTAGGAAGCAAATATACAATAATTAACTATTCTATTTTCTTATTCTAAAAACAATAAGAATCTTATTTTAGATTGTACATTTGAGAACATAATAAACTAGAAATAAATGCCTATAACGGTCGAAACTGGATCTTTAATGTTAAATAATTCAATATGAATTATATATATACTATATATGTACACATGCATATATACGTTATATTTGTAGTCATTCGAACTGCGTGCCGAGTTGGTTTTCCGGACTTACAAATGCAATTAAACTACTGTAATAATATCACAAATTAAATTAAATTGATAAGCAATTTCTAATAATTCGATGCTCAATCAGGCATCATATTAGAAAGATGTTAATGTGCTGAAAAACTGTAAATAAATTTATTGTAAATAAATTTGTTATATTATTCTAAAAAACTCTTTACACGATTTTATTTAATTTTCAAGGTTTGAAAAGTAATAAAGAACAAATTAAACCAAAGTCAATTTTGTCAGTTCAGTAATATACATACAATCTAAAAGTTCTTTAATTAGTAAGTCTGTGTTCATTTCATTTCAAATAAGAGAGTATCACTTAAATGAAAGATTCACCTGAAATGTTTAGAAAAAAATTGCAGTCTGTAATCGTGTAAGGATAGGTGCCTCATAAAAGATGCAAATATTTCGCATAGCGAATAAACTGTCCCGAAAGGGTTAAATGGGTTAAATGGCGATAAATTCCAAGAAGTCGTGCGACGGAGGGAGAGGGGGGGGCCGGAGGGACGCAGAAAGCTTCTCAAAGTGCTCGTCAAGTCGTATAATCCGCGATTTATTTGACCCGAGCCGTCATAAATCCGGCCTCGGTGCGTTATTCCCGTAACTAGGAGTAGCAAACGGATCTCATTTCAGCCATCGGGACCGCACTGTCGCACTATCAAAGAGGGAAAGAGAAGATCAGGAAATGGGGAGGGAACGATCCTCGCGTCGTCTCGCTTGAGAAGGCGGTTTGGCTTAACTCCCGGGAATCTGGATCTGAAACTATCCGACGAACTACTCGCAAGACAGTTTGCCCAGAAACGGATTTCTGAGTCCCGGGGGATGCCACCCTGCCTGCGGCCCCCACCTTCGGGCCGTCGTTCTCCTTCCCCGACCGTTTCGATTTGAAACTCCGCGTATGCCTTCTCCGCCGGCCGAATAACACGATGGCTCCATTATTGCGCCGAGTGCTTTTGGGTATTATGTGATGGGATCGGATTTCAAGTCTGCCCGTCAAAATTATCAAAATGGAGAAAGAAAGAAATGGAAAAAAAAGATTCGTCTGCGGAAAGCGGAAATCGGAGGACTTTTTTTTCCCCTCCGACGAAAGCTTAGACCTGATTGAACCGCCGGCGTTAAATATCAGGTATATCTTTGCGCGATTATGCCTCACATTCAATTTTTATTTATTAGGCAAATTTATTTTAATGCATCGGATATCCGGAAAGTATATTTTTTACTATCCGACCGGATAGTCGGACATTATTAGTATCCGAAAATATATCCGGTTGAAATTTGATATCATTAAATTGTGGATTTTTTTCTTATACGAATGTTCTAGCTAGACACAAGTATGCATATTCATGATGTTATAATATCTTATACATTGTTGTAAAATTACAATCTTTTTCTCTATATGTATAGACTTTTTTTTTTTAGAAGACATTTTCTCGGATATCTGATCGGATATCCGATATCCGGTAATTTTATGATCCGGTGCATCCCTCATTTTAAGTCCGCTAAAATACAATATTTCATTTGTCCGTAATTTTATATCTTTAATTTATATTAAGGAAAATATATATATTTTAATTTTTATAACGATAACTCCGTAATATCGCATTAAAAAAGTTCTCGATTGTTGTGCAAAAAAAAAACGAACTATAGGTAGAAAAATATCAGGTATTATCACATCGATCCCTTATTTTCCATGTCGTTTTCCTTTTACTGATATCTTTGTTGGATATCAGTAAAAGGGCAAAATCGAGAGAACTATGAAATTTTTATTTAAACATCGTTTCAACGTTTGCCTCGCTTATGAAAACATTTGAGGCAAGGCAAAATTATGTCGGGTGTCTTTAGAGAGAGACTAGCGGATCGTTTTTCCGTAAAACAGATACGTCTGAGCTCGCTACCTCTCCGAATGTTCACCAAGTTTCAGCTGCATCGAAAATTTCGGATTTAAGAGTTCGTCTCGTCACTTTGCGGCCCCAGCCACGCAAACTTTATTCACGACACCGATTTATCCTCCCACTTTATAGATCAGTTCAAAATACCTCTTGAATTTCATTTCCATCATGAAGAAAGAATGACAATATTTTTTTCTAAAATTTGCATGTACAACTAATACTAATAATGCAAATAATAATAATACACTGTAAAAAATAAAATGTTAATTTTAATTTAAGGACGTTTAGTGGATTTTCTGAGACATGCAAAAATGTTTTATTTTTTTATTTTTTATTTTTTTTACAGTGTAATAATAGTAGTGGATTTAATAATAATAATAACAATAATAGTAGCTTTATTGAACGTACGTAGAAACAGTAAAGTTAATACTATGATGTGCAATATAATTGTGCCGTTGGTAAATTGCAAGAATTCGTACAAACGGTTACGGTTTACAGATGGTTCTTTGATTAAATAGTTTGGAATACCCACGAACACGTTTCACTTCTCAAACACGAGCCTTCAAAAGCCACTGGTTCACTTTTCGCTGATACGATGAAGAAAATCTCGAGGAAATCGCTTGGTTTTATCCATCAAAATCTCACCTCGCGGGATTAAGTGCCCTTCAGTAAGACAGCTACGCCTTCTTCGAGGTGCGCTTATCAAAGGAACTTTCGCGACGATATTTTTGTCTGTCTTCGTACCTCTGAGAAAAAGTTTGCCAGGTGGAATTAGCGGGAACTTTATAGCCCACGGTCGTAAAGCACCAGCCCGCGCGCGGAGTTAAGCCGTGTACGCGCGCCCTGATCTTCTCTAGCCTTTTATTTTCTCTAGCCTCTCCTCTGCGCGCGATGTACTTCGTTTCTCTCTGATTTTCCACGTTCAATGGAACCTACTTAATTCAGCCGTCGTACGCCGTCGGAGAGACTGTTAAAAGCGAATTTGCTATATGACATAATATTGACTTAGCGTCCTGAGCAGCTTAAGATACCAAATTAATGAACAGTCCAACCTCCGATGCAAATATGAAATCTAAAGTTTTGATTATTCTAACTCGTAACATATTGTATTCGACACTTTACTCGTTTCAGATTTTCCTCCGTATTATTACGACTTTTTGAGAGAAAAAAAAAAAGAAACAGAAACTTAATACTTAATTTTGTCAAAGTTATCAACGAAAATAAACTCGAAAATAACTCGCAGTTATAAATCTGAAATACGAAAACAGTGACATTTATTACCTGATTTTGTGTCAAAGTTATCACCAAAAATAAACGCTTAATTCCTCGAAAATGTAAATTATACATCGTAATATTATAATAAATTTCAAACGCGGTTGACTATATATTGTTCGATTTTCCATCAACCGCATGACATCAATGAAATAAACAAACCTCCAAATCAAATATGGGACTGACGCTGATCAAGTTCGCCTAAAATAACTGACGTTAACTTTCCCGTCGTGCAATAAGGCGTGTATTCCCATCGCGGTTGCCAAGTACGATCGTCTAATTCGGAAATTCGGTCGCACAATAGAAGGATCGAAGTGTTACGAAATTAGTATGGAGATCAAGAGGCGAAATATCGGTAGATTGAATTTATCAATGGGCGCCATCGATTTTTTTCGCCGGATGTCAATATCTCTCTTATAAGTCTTTCGAGGGAGGAAAGGACGTCGTTCGTTATAGAACGATTACTCGGGACCGTGGCTACTCATGAATAGCCGAGGGCCGAGTGTACAAAAGC